AAAAACAAATAAATAAATAATATTCATTAATCAGATCTATCATATTTTATACCAAAATTTTGTATTTATTTATATTATCATTTCAGTAGCAAGTTTCATCTCAATACCGAGAGGTTAAACGACATCGAACAGGATCACCAAGTGGATGGGTGACTGGTTTTAGAAACATGCGGTGATAGGAGATAAAAGATGTGTTTCGTCAATTTCTCTCATTTTTTTTCATTTTTTAATTTTTTTCCATTTATTTTCCGTAAGGGATGTCACGTATATTATAAATTTTCAGTATTAGCAGTCAATATCGGAACGCAACCGTAATTTTGTCGACATTTTGCTATCTGGAATATATTGAGGATATACTTCAGACAAGCTAATTACATATTATAGATATATTCAGTATATCTCCATAATTACCAGCGAAAATCTACGGGATAAAGTAATGCGGACATAGTAAATTATTAGTATATACTCGATATATCATATACGTATCTCGAATATCATGCGAATATTGTAATATACTTTTGCAATATCTTACAAACATCATCGATCTATATGGCTGTCTGGGTATATTGTAAAAGAAAAATAAAGATGAAAAGAAAAATAAGGAGGAGCAAATAGAGAAGGGATAAATATCAGATAAGTAACTAATATTCTTATAAAATGAAAAATAATTTATTTATATACACACTATGACTATAGATGTTGTTGATTCTTTTTTTCGATTAATTTTTTGTTCTAGGTTCAAGATTGGAAACGAAATGCTTCTTCAAAGAAATCAAGGATCGATTTTCTTTGATAATTTATTCAAAATTAATCTAAATTATCTTAGAAGTGCCCGAGTGTCAATGTGATTATTTAGCGATGACCTATATCAGCCTGATCACTCTTTTGACCCTTCCCTAATAGCACTCGTCTATTCTGAGAACATTCCACAGGATATCATACAAGTATATTCGAAATATTCTCCGAACATTCGAAATACATACTGCGATATATTGTGGAATGTACTTAGACCGTTACTACCGCTCACTAATCCGTAGTATGTACTGAGAATATCCCGCAGTATGGTCATAGGATGAAAATGATTTAAAAACAATATATCATGTAGGGCATGCATAAGGGTATTCCAGACAGCCAGATCGCGATATTATAGATCGAAAATCTATAATATACGTGACATCTTTTGTGTCACGTATATTATAGATACTCTCCATAAGGAAAATAAATGAAAAAAATATAAAAAAATAAGAAAAAGTAATAAAATATATTTTATCTTGTATCATTGCATGTTTTTAAAACGGTCACCCATCCTACTTGGAAATCCTATACTTGTATGATATCTTGTTCGATGTTACTTAACTTCTATAATGAGATGAAATCTACAACTGAAATGATGATATAAGTGAACACAGAATTGTGACATAAAATATGATCCGGTTAATGAATGTTACTCTATTGTTATATAAATAGTCTTAATTTTAAAATCTCAATTGCATATGTAATTCTTGTGAATAATTTAATTATATGTAAAGAAAAATAAAATATAGTCAAGCATATGAAATAAATTGTAATTAATATATTAATTATTTAAAGATTACAATTCATGATGTTAAAAAAAGCAACGATGCGTTCATTATAATTATGAACTTTTTTAAATAAAAATTCTGCGAGATAATGTGAAAAATGGTAATCGTGTGTCATAGCGAGGAATGTGTGATCGCATCTTTCGCCACAATCTCTCTATATTTTGTGTATGAGTACCACTTTCAGGATCAACAAAATTAATTGTATGATTGACTGTCACACTGCGTGTAATTTTCATTACGTATGCTCGCCATTTATCGATATGGATAATAGAGCTAGCTGCGACATAATTTTTGAAAATTGGTAAAAGAGTTTTGACAGATCGATTTGTTACAGGCAAAACAAATACATTCTATTGCGTTCAATTCCGTCAAAAACCCACTGTCCTCTAATTATACGACCGGTATTGTATTTTCTTTTGCCTATTTTAGCTTCATCCAGTTCTACTATTTTACCTAGTCCACCAATTTATTTTTGTTCTTTCTCAAGCCATTGTTGTGAAGTAACTAACAATAATTTAATGTATTACTTAATAGCAAACATAAATAAATAATAAGCAATATTTTACTTACTTCTCGACAAAAATTTTTCCAATTGACAACAGTATAATCGTTAAGTTCCAATTCGTTTTTTAGAAATCTATGTCATGATGGCTGTAAAAAATAACCGATAAATCGATAAATTGGATAGGAAGATTTAAATGTGCCCGCTCAAATCATGTTCCATGCACTTATTTTGAAATTACTACTCTCTGTTGTTTTCGATTTTTAATAACCTTATAATATTTATTTGTACACTGAAAAATATGATTTTCAGCAATATTTGTTAATATTAGTACATTTCGGCATCTCGGACATGTCACTTCACTCCGTACAACTTTTTTTTCACATAGAAAATTCCACAAACAATCAAAATTGTATGTTATATTAATAAATTCATGTAAATGCATATATAATACAATATGTAATTGTCTTACACGTATTAAAGTTCTTTAAGTGCTTGACTGGCTAATATATATTGTCGGTATGATGGTGATATCGGTACGATACTGATGATGATCGTAACACTACTGATCTGTGAAAATCGTTGATATCTGTAAACAGGATATCTGTAAGTGTACAATAACAAACATGTCCTTCAACATTGAATCGTAACTGTTGTTTATTTCTACCGACATTTTTCACAGATCAGTAGTATCAGTAGTTTGGTATTCAAATTTATATATTTTTTTATATGGTTTGAAATTTAATTTTTATCAGTGTATCAACATATAGATTTGAATTGAACTTCGTGCAGAAATAAACAAAAAAAAAAAGCGACGCGCGGAAGCGACGCATGGTTGATTGAGACATATAAACAGTTGGTCAAAAATAAGGTAAATTATATTCAACAATAATAAAAATTATTAATAAATAAAAATGTAAAAATTAAAATATTTTCGAAATGAATACTATATTGTAAATTTAATTTTCCTTATTTTTTAATACAATTTCATGAATTCATTATTTTTTAAAATAATTTTTAATATTAGCTGTTTCAGATAGATGTAAGACATTCAATGTCCAAACCCGCAATGATAGTTATAATTTCATACATAACTTTTTTTAAAATATATAATAAAAGAATTATTACATAATAATTAAACAATTAATAATTATATTAAAACAATCAATTAAATATATAAAATAATTGAAAGATATTTATTAGATTCAGAAAAAATTAACGGAGACCGACTGGATTTGAACTCACGATCCCTCGTCTACCAATCCGACACTTAGTCTGCACGATCACGACGGCTCCTCCATGTTGACTCTTTATATTCTGAATCTCTTTCATGACCACTTACGGTCGTCTAATTCTTACATAATTTTCAATAATTTCAATAATTTTCAATAATTAATCAGAACGAGATGGAAGAAAGAAAAACGCGACACCGTGGTCTCTCACTCGCACTAGCGTCGCGTGTGTGAGACAGTGAAGGGACAACGAAATCGGTATCACGTATCCGATTATGCTTTCTCTCTCGATCTGTGTGTCTTGCGTTAAGGATGCAACATTGAATTGCCCCCACTATTTTTTTCTCTTCGCTCCGCATCTCCTTCGCGCTCCGCGAAGACACGGACGTACGCGCTTCGTGTGTATATGTAGCGGCCGCACGCCGAGCGCAGGACATCATTCCTGCCGATACACTTCTTGCACTAGTTCTGGGGATCAATCATGTAACTTTACGTGAAATTTTTCACTTTTTATTTTTCACTTTTTACTTTTCATTTTTCATACCTTGACACCTTGACATTTCACGTGAAACTTTTCACGTACAGCGATATTATGTATGTAGTTTGGATGCTATGTATGTAGCATAGAAAGTGAAATCATGAAACATAGTTTCATAGGTTTTATAGCTAATGAAAATTATTTTATTGGTACAATATTATATACATCTTTTAATAACCAATTGTATATGTACTACGTACACTTAACTTATTCTAACGCAACCCTAATCTTCTCTAATTCCGAAGCATATTTATTAATTCTCTAGATTTCTGCCTTTCCGCCACTAAGGTACATGGCGAAAAAGTTCACGTGAAAAATTTCATATTTTCACGTTTGAGAGAGTTACATAATCCCGCAAAATTATACATGATCGTATGTTCACGTGAAACTTTTCACTTCTCACGTTTCCGCCCTAGGGGAAAAGTTATATGATCGACTCCCTGGAATAAAAAACAATCTATATGCGCGCATTTATCTATAGTTTATATCACGTATATTATACAAAATGTGCGCATATGCGCTTTCGACGGAATCCAGTCAGTACATGGGTGCATTCGTTTACGCAGTATTTTGTGCATCCACTGCTTTCTCATCTGCTTGTCACGTGATCGAAATTTACCAAACGGATAACTGCGTGAATAATTGCACGGATCGTACCTTCCAATAGAAATTGAGCCGATTGTTTAAATAATAAATAAAGAGACAATTTTATACGTAAATTGTCTCTTTATAAATATTCAAATAATTAAAATGTAATAAAACTTTTTTATTGTATAAAAGATAATATTTTATTGATATTAAATTTAATTGATGTAAATAATGGATATTATAAAAAACATTTAATCTATGAATTTTACTTAAAAGTTAGATATTAATTTTTTGTGAATTATATTTTATTATTCTTATTTTTTCTTATATCTTCTTATTTTTATTCTTATTTTTTCTTATTTTATTCTTATTTTTTATTCTTATTTTTATTTTATCTTATTTTTATTTTAATTATATCTTATTATTCTTATTTTATTTTAATATTTTATTTTAATTATTATTTTAATATTTTATTTTAATTATTATTTTAATATTTTATTTTAATTATATCTTATTATTCTTATTTTACTTGGATCAATTATTTGTTTCTGACCCTTTTCGCTTCTTATTCTAATAAAATTCATTTTGGTGTTCGTTTACACAGTACTACAAGCAGAGCATCCAAATCAGGAGGTCGATCATGTAACTTTTCCCCTAGGACGGAAACGTGAAAAGTGAAAATTTCACGTGAACTTACGATTTTGCGGGATCATGTAACTCTCTCAAACGTGAAAATGTGAAATTTTTCACGTGAACTTTTTCGCCATGTACCTTGGTGGCGGAAAGACGGAAATCTAGGGAATTAATAAATATGCTTCGGAATTAGAGAAGATTAGGGCTGCGTTAGGATTAAGTGTACGTAGTACATAGGGGGTCAATCATGTAACTTTACGTGAAATTTTTCACTTTTCATTTTTCACTTTTTACTTTTCATTTTTCATACCTTGACATTTCACGTGAAATTTTTCACATACAGCGATTATGTATGTAGCTTGGATGCGTGGAAAGTGAAATCATGAAACATAGTTTTCATAGGTTTTATAGCTAATGAAAATTATTTTATTGATACAGTATTATATACATCTTTTAATAACCAATTATATACCAATTGTACTACGTATACTTAATCCTAACGCAGACCTAATCTTCTCTAATTCCGAAGCATATTTATTAATTCCCTAGATTTCCGCCTTTCCGCCACCAAGGTACATGGCGAAAAAATTCACGTGAAAAATTTCACATTTTCATGTTTGAAAGAGTTATATGATCGTAAGTTCACATGAAACTTTTCACTTTTCACATTTCCACCCTAGGGGAAAGTTACATGATTGACCCCCTGGACTTCCGAGATAGCTGCACAGATGAGATATACATCCCTGCGTAAACGAACTGCGCTGCAGTCATTTTCTCAGACGGAGTAAACGAACGACATTTGCGGTAGTGACTGCATAAACGAATGCATTCTATTACTGTGTTTCGTAGCTGAAAAGTACCATTTATTTTCACATTTTGAAGATGGTTAGTCACTTTGGAGAAGTAATATTCCCATCATCTCGAGCATTTTGGGATGATGAGGACGAGTATGAACCAGCTAATTTTCAACATTCTTCGTAAGTTGAAATTACGACATGCTAAGGCACTGATACATTGTTGCATATTGTTGCAATTATTTTAATTCGATTACCTCTATCTTGCATTATTGTTATACACAAAATAATACGAAGTGATGATGATTTCAGGAAGTTATACATTCGCTGGTTGAAAAATAAACCAGAACATATACAAAAGTTCATTGTAATAGAAGGAGATCCATTAATTCGTAATATTAATACTATTTTAAATCAGTGTTTATTCTCTCTCCTTTCCCAACTTGCATACCATAAATTACTAAATAATTGTTTTGTTTCAGCTCTTGTGGTTCAATACTTGTATTCTAAAACAGAAGCATGTATCATAGAAGATGAAAATCAAAAAAAAGTTTCAGTTATTTATCATATTGACAAACAAAAATATATGTGTATGATTTTACCACAATTTGATACAAGAAATGCTGGAAAACTTATAAACCAGGCAGATACTTTATTAACTATATTCATTTATTAACCTTCCATTGTATATTTTGTAAATTTAATAAATGTGCATTTATTTTTTTACAGATATCAGATATAATACAAATTTCAGAAAATATGATTTCGATAATATGTCTTCATATATCACAGTTTCAGAATACAAACATTCCAGAGATTCCTTCGTTTTTAAGAACATTAGTTACCAAAAATGAGAATTTTAAAAAATGGGAGACTGAATTGTTGGAACAACCAAATATTGTGTTTGGAGTTGGTGCAGGAGGTTGGTATTTATTCATAATATATACAATAACGATGTAACCTAAGTATAAAAAATATTCTCCAAAAGTGGAATCATTTTTCTGTTTGTTTCAGTTTTATCTTATGCTGAACTCATGGGCATGTCAGCCAAGTTATATGTTTTTTATATTGATAGTCTTGTGTTAGATTCTAAATGTGCAGAACCAATTATCCAAATTTTAACTAATGAAATATCTTGTACATTGCAGCAACCAAAATTTATTGAAAATTCCTTTAGTAAAGGAAATCTTTATATGTGAAATGTTTATCTTCTTTGTAAAGCAAACGTGAATTAATTACATATAAATTAAATATCAATTGATATATGGAAATGATAAAAAAAGTTTAAAATTATATATGTAAAATATAAAGCTATATCTATAAGTATTTGTGCATGCACGCACAAAAATTTGTTTTCATTATTTCAACATTCATCTTTAATTAAGATAAAATACAGATACAGTTTAAACTAAATATATTAATTGCTTTCAATTATGGTTGTGGTGGATAATAGGTACGTGGTGGTGCTGCTGGTGGAATTGGATTAGTCGCTGGAAAGTAGGATGCGTTTGTCGGATAGGAATATGGTTGGAAAGCAGTTTGGTTGGTAGTTGGTGCCGATGGTGGTGTAGGGCGAATAGTAGCAGATGATCCAATATGATGCATTGTTGATACAATATGATTCATTGTATTCACAGGAGGAGGAGGAACCGAAACATTCGTAGGTGGAAATGCCGGTGGATAATTTGTATTGTTGGAGGTAAAATTCGTCGAGTACGTGGGAAAATGAGCCGTTGACGTGTCTAGTGGTTTTATTGTATCTGAAATGTCTGTAGCTGGACATCCATTTGCAGAAGCAGTTGATTCGGTGTTCTTAGATGATTTTCCAGGTGTCACTGTAATATTTAATGATTTCTTGTTATTTCAGTGTTTAAATACTCTAATATATATATCTAATATATGATGTTAAAAATTTATCCGAAACATGATTATATATATCATTATTATTATTACTTACCGTTTGGTGTATTAGATGCAGATTCTATAGCAGTAGCAATAATAGGTCGTTCTCTGCACATTTCGCTGGATGGTATCATAGGTGGTGAATCTGGTGGTTTTGTACTAGCTTGCGAATATAAATCCAATACTTGATGACAAATATCTAGAAATATATGTGATATATCATGGGATATTGTAACAAATCAATAGCAAAGACACTTGTAGCACTTGTGATATTTACAGATGAAAATTGTACAAGTTTACCTTCTAAAAGATCCATAGTTACATCTTCAACAAACATATCCCACCAGCGTAAATGTTTTGGTTGTCTTCCAACCCAATCTACTACTTCAAACTTGCTTAATTTTCCTGCCAAGTACATTAGAGCAACAGCTATGATCTCTGGCTCCCATTGTAGTGACAAAGTGGTACATAAACTATAAAAAAAGAATATAATGTAACAGGCTTCCCACGCGACATACCAAATATTAATATGAAGAAATTAATACAGTTGGGGTTAATACCACATACCTATCGTTAACAAATGTCCAAGCCATTTGAACCATCTTTTGCAGCTTGTTTTTATCGCCTACAAAGTACCACAGAACAAAATCGTCTTCACTAGCATTTTTGGTCCTTACTATTTAGTAATCTTTTATATAGCTTTACATGTATAATATTTAAATTACCTTTCAGACATTTTGCATATTTTAATAAATAACTATATGGATGTTCCACTTGTAGATCAAATTTGATAGTTTGCAATAAAATTCTTTCCAATATTAAAACCTCTTCCTGAAAAAGACAATTCGGTATACATAAACATGTATATTAAAGTATATATGCCTCCAGAAAAAATAACTTACTTTAGGATCTTCCCCAAATGTCATAAATTTCTGTTCTGACACTAAAGTTTTAGCAGTCCTTATGATATCTTTACATTTTTTCGGCGTTTCTTCAACTTTACCAGCTAAGAGTAAACAGCAGCAAGCTGTTACCTATATATTGCAACAATACAATATACATTATAATAATACATATAAAATATTTGTAATTTTTATATTACATATACATGCGTACATACATCAAACACATACATATACCACACATACCACACATACACACACATATCCATTTATCATACTTACATATCGTGGAAAATTTTTGAATGAATGGAACATGTAGAACCGATGAAAATAAATAACACCCGTTGCCATCGTATTGTAACCTAAATCCATTTTTGTACCAGTATCGATAATAAAACGCGCGCCTTCCTTTCGGTATCTACATTCTGTCTCATAATCGATACCATCCTGAATAGACGGCGTATTGCGTAGTTCCTTCTTTTCGTAATACCAGCACGGCATGTTTAAACCACTTTAAATATAGTATTTAAATGTTAATATTATACTTAAATTATACGGTACACACATCTCTTGGCACATTAAAATTACTTAAAATAATCGAAAATTACTTAAAACATGATGCCATTCCGAGTTTATTAACCATAACTTACAGTCTATTTTACAAACTTAACTCCAACATTTTATGTATTTGTAAACTTAAATTTCAACATTTACACTTACTTGACATATTTTGATTTCAGAGGCTGGCAACTCTTTTATAACAATAATTAATTATTATAATGTAATAAGAGTTCAAATTACATCAACAAATTCCTCTTCTTTCTATTTTGCTTTTCTCTACCTTGCTGCTCTTACTCTTGCCCTGTTTGCTCCTTCACTCTATCCTCTGGCCTGATTCAGGCTGCGTTCCGATATTCAGTACTGCCGCCAGTACTGAAAATCAATAATATACGTAACATGAACTATATATTTTCAGTACTGGCAGTGAATATCGGAACTCAACTTTGGAAACATCACCTAAGGTCTTGTGTCCACGATGCTAGAAATCGGCCCGAGATCTCGGATGAAAAGAGAATTCCTGGCCAACTAACCAATCGCATTAGTTAGTTGGCCGAATTATTTAAACGCAATTGATCAATTCTTTTTTCATCCGAGACTTCGAGTCGATTTCTAGCACCATGGACACAAGGCATAAGTGACTTCATAAGCCTGGGCATCGACCACGTATTTTTCAGTGACATAGTTCACTTTTAGATTTTCACCGGTGGCCATCTCATGGTTTCACCGTTCGTCATTTTCACTGCGATCATGCAGCGAAAAAAATTAGTGACATAACTAGAAGTAGTGAGACCTATTCACATCAAAATATTAATAAAAAACTACCCTGAAGGCAACTTCTCGACTGTAAATATAACCTTAATTTAACAAAATAAAGAGGTACGAACTTAAGAATAGATATTCCTATCTGTGCAAAGAAGGTAAATACATCAACGGCAATAAGGAAAACAATTACTAATAATTGTAAGTTGCAACAATTTATTAATTTATTTGAAATGTATAAACTTTCATTTAAAAAATTTTTCTATTTCAGTGTCTGTATTTCAAACAAAAACATAAGATTGACTTTTCATGCTGACGCTCGATGTTCATTTTTAGCACAGTATAAAAAAGAACAATAGGATAACTTCTTAGCGGCACCTTTGATCTGAATGCTACACGACCATGTTGTTGGTTGTGCGCGGGCTACAATTTAAATTGATATGCGTTAGCTAAAGTAAACATATTAGATATATTATAATTGTGAAATAATTGTAATTGTAAATACAACGATTTAGAGAATAAGTTTGTTTAATTTTTAACCTTTAATTTAGTTCCACACACCCATATGTCTGTATTTTGCATAATTACTTTTTAAAAATTTATATAAATTAAATTTATATGGAATAATGGAAAGGTAATTATTATTAAAAATATTCTGCTTATCTTGTGCTCAAAATTATAATTATGAAGAAATAATATTATTCAGGAATAAAAAAAAAATTCTCTAATTATTATTTTTATTTTTTTTTATTATTATTTCAAACATCTTGCACAATGATTATTTTAATTCTTGAACTTCACTGATTTAATAGTTAAAATTATTCTCTGATTAATAATTATAGTTGTTATTCAATCTTAAATATTTTAAATTGTTTTTTTTATATTTACGCATTGATTTATGATATATTGAGCAGTATTGGAATACAGTATAAACAGTAGTGCAACTCTCCGTCAATGCCTTTGATGTTGCGTATGTTAAAATAAACTGCACATGCGTGAGCGACGTATGTAACCAATCAAGACACGGATATTCCGCTTCACTTCTTCTTTTTATTATAACTTTATTTCTCTTTCTAACTTGACATCAGTGTATGTTAGAATAGAAATGTACATAGGCGCATGAAATTTATTTCTTGATATTTATTTCATTATATATTCTCCAACGAAATATACATACAGAAATAAAGTTAAATTTTAAATATAAAAAAAATAATTTTAGATAAATTTTATCAATTTGTATTGCTATATTATATTATGTATTGTCGTATTACACAAATAAAATTATACATGGCTTTTCTAAAAATAAAAGTTAATTAACGAAGTTAATAATGATTGTTAATAACGATTAACAATTTATATCTGAAACAAAAAAAAGTACAAATTATTTAAAAAAGCATACATATAAATTTATTATATAAAACTAATTTATTATATGATAATGTATATGCAAATATGCAAATTAAAAAAATAAAAGAAAAAATACATTAAACAATATGTTAAACACATTGTGAATAATATAAATAATATATAGTAATTGTTAATAAATTTTTTAAAAAATATCGTTAGTATATCTTCATGTTAATTCTATAAAATGTATAAAATATATAAAACAAGTATTATAATGTAAATAATGAATGAATGAAATAAGTAAATAATGAATAGAAATAAAGTTCATAAATCATAGACAAAATATAGATTTAAAATATGAAGAAACAAATATTGACAAATATTAATTTAATTAAAAGTATGTCATATTAAAAGATACAATAATACAATAAACATAAAATTTAAATGCAGATGCAATGTTAAACAAATTAAGATGCCTTAACTTCTAATATTCATAAATTAATGTTTTATTTATTTCTTCCATACAACTCATCAATCATTAGTTCGCATCTCAGCTAGTCGATTCATCTCGGTACGAACCAAGGAAAAAACAGTAAAAAAAGAAATTTAACAATTAAAGTTAAAATTTTAATTTTGTTATAACACCTACGAGATGCATGTTTCCACTACGTTAAAGCTTGTATAGGCATCTCATGCTAACAAACGGAGAAATTACAGGGAAAAGTGAGACGGAATATCCGTGCCCTGATTGGTTATATGCCTCGCTCGCGCATGTGCAGTTCATTTTTACATACGCTAAAATCAGGAGAGTTGCGCTACTGTATATACTGTAATTGGAGCGCGACTGACTGCTAAAAGCCGCCATATTGTTGATTGTGTAAAACGATCATGCGCGAGAGACAATTATTAGTACGCTTTTTGACAGAATGAGCCTGCTGTTTCTTCTTATACTGTGCCCCAGTGGTTAGTGATTGACCGCAAGTTTCTTGTTGTTGATTTGTTGATTAAAGTCAAGTGATAAAGTTTTTTTTGGATGAACTAAACGCTCATGTAACGAATTAATAAAATAACAAGTGTTGACAAAAATATTTGCAATTCTAAAAATAAACAACTTTAAATATAATGCCCTTGGCAACTCTAACGGCTCCTTGGACCGAGCATCGTACAAATGAAAAGGTAAAATTCTTAATTTCTTTCTCGAGTCGCAACATTCTTGGAAATCTTTCGTGAAACGGTAAATTCCAAATGTGTAGGAAATAGTGTAGGAAGTATAGATTAGCCTTAAGGTTAATTTGACAATGAAGATTCGGGAATATGTAGTTGTCAATTCTGTCGCGGATTGTAAACAAAAATTTCTATAGTCAAATTCCGATCGATTTTATTAATTTTTCTGATTTCTCCATATGCTTTTGCTTCATTTTATTCAAGATCTTACAATATATTTTTATTTTCCTTTTTGCATTTCTTTAGCAAAGTACAGAAATTCTTCCGGCTGAAAATCAGGAAGAAACAATGATTACTCCAGGAAATTTCATTGAAAGATCAAACGGTTGCTCTGAATCTCATGAGATTGAAGTACGTGATATGGTAAGAGATGGTTATGAGAAAGCAGAACCTTCTCATTTTTGAATTATTGAAAGTTCTTGGTCAAGGATCTTTTGGCAAGGTAGGACGTACATTGCTCTATATATATATATATATATATATATATATATATAGTAGTATATATATATATATATATATATA